GAATAAGACTGTTTTTCGTCCTTGACTCTGAAATAGTGGCACTTGCGAATCTGCACTAGGTTACTGTGCTTGTGATCGTGGTGAACGGTCGGCCAAACATCACGCCTATCATCCACAATCACCACTCCACGCTCGTCAGCCAAAACCAAATCAAGCGTCTTCAGCTCAGGACTCTCGGTTCTTGTTATCACTCTATTCCCAAAATACATTCCCTTCGGATCAATCAGCTCCAACACGGCTTTAGCGTATCCGCGATTACCCATTGTGTAAACATACATTGTGAACATCTTGTTGGCTTCTTCCAAGAACTCGCGAACAAAAGGCCGTAGCTTTATCAAGTATATGGGGTCAATGAGGAACGCCCTTAGATCTTCCCTTGCACTTGAATCTGCTACTTTGATTAGATATCACTCTGTTTTGGAGAGACCTGAAACCGCAGTGGAGTGGAGAAGCGTGTGGTCCAAGTCGAGGACAAGATGAAGCTTCTTCTCGTTGAGACAATAGTATTGCGTTGTAAATCGCTTCATTAATGTTGCAGCTTCGTGGCTTAGCTGTAAACGTCGGACGAGATAAACGAACGCTCGACCTTTGCATATGTTCACCGTGGATTTGCAGACGATGCAGACTCCATCACCGACGTACGAGTGACCACAACTACTACAAGACGAGGACGACTCTTTGATCGCCGGTTTGAATTCCAGAGAAATCTTTTCAACTAGAGAAGTGATTTCTCTCATCGATATAGTCTCCATTGAGTAAACCCTTTAAGCTGAAAATCCCTGAGCACTGATCAGAGATTCTAAGAGCAAATAAACCAAATTGACGTCGAGAATATGAAAGGAAAAAACCTCAGAAATCGAGTGGAGACCAAAAAAGAACACTACTTCGACAGGAGAAAGACTTATTTTGAGGTAATTAACACGAACTTTTTCATCTCACTTTAACCTCGTATTATTTTTATAAGGAGAAATATGGAAATTCTAAAACTGATTGTTTTTGGACTTCGCAACAATTATGTTTCTTTTCCTTCTCAAGTGGAAGTCCACATGGGCTTTAAGCCTTCAATAAAGGGGAATATTTACTGGTTTGATTACGATAATAAAGAAGACCTTAATTTCTTACTCAAATTTGATTCACAACAGAGAGATTTGAACGTCTGTCTCTTCCTTTTCAAGGTGATGATTGTCATGAGGATGTGGTTCTATCAGTTGTCAAAGAACAAAAACTTGCCTTGTTAGGTCGGACGGACGATTGGAAGATGAAGACATGGGTCAGCAACACTATGATTGATGAGGCCAAAGATTTGTCCTGGAGCGAGTTCTTAGTAGTGGATTTCCGTGAACTTCCGATAAATTGTATAGACACGGCGATGAGTTTCTTGGTGGACGAGGAGAATAAAATGGTTGTGTTCTGTGATACAGAAGCTGAGGATGAAGACAGAACCTTAATTTACATTTTTGGAGATGGAGAAGATATGCGTAAACAAGTTTATAGAGATTTTACAAACGGATCAGGGGATCGTAGTCCACTCTCTTCAGTTATGTCCAAGTTTGGTTCAAATTCAGACAAGTAATAGTAGTAATCCTGGTGGCAAAAGAAAAAGGTGATTAGTTGATTCAATTACCTAGTTTCTTTGAACGAGATTAGTCAATTATTAATTAGGGGGTTTTATGTTTAGTTAATAAACAAGAGTACCTAAATTTTCTCAGTTTCTTTTTTAATATTCTATTTTTGCTTTCGGAACAAGATTTTGGTGATGTTTACGTACATTGTTTATGACTGTGTACGTGTTTTTAAATCTGTGTGTTTTAAACTAAATACCAAAATTGAAGAGACGAAAACCAAAGAGTGAAAAGCGATAGCAAGAAGGTTCGTGAAAATATCATTACATGCATAAGAAGAACCATAATTAATTACGCAGAGCAGATCTCAACGTCCTAAAGTTGTAACTCGTAAAGCTTTAATACATTGAAGTATGACATGTTTTATGTGTAGTTTGATGAATAAAACCCTTCATGAAGAGATCTTTTCCTTTTTCTTGAAAGACAAGTTTCAAATAATTTATTAGGTTCGTTTTTTCTTTGTCTTTTGTTTAGGCACTAGCTGTATACAGTTAAATTTTTCCTTTCAAAATCCCTCAGTAGCATCGGATATTAGCTGCAATTTTTATTCGTTTGCTGAAGAAATTGATAACTGGTAAAGGGACACGAGATCAACATCAAAGAGAATAAAGCTAATTCGTATGGTTTAAGTACAAATTATATAGGTATCTGGTTCGAATACCACATGATCCTTGATCCCATACTTACAATACATGTAGCACCATCAGCCACTAATTAAAATATCGTACTGCAATATAATGGATATTTGTCCCTTAATTAGACCGATCATTGTACAGTTGAAAATGTCATAGAAAACTTAAAAATGACAAAATATCGCAGAAAATTATGAAAAAACAAATTAAAATAAACCTTTGTATAATTTAAATAGTTGGGCATATATCTTGTTGAATAAATTAGTATTGGTTCTTGCATACTAAGCATATATACAAGTAAAAAGACAAAAGCCGAAGAATATAGTTTGGTAGAATAGACAAAGGTCCGCTTATTTTACGACTAAATATATGATAAAGAACATATTATCTATCTATACGTAAAATAGTATAATTGATATATCATATACTTAAAAAATAATTAAACTATTTAATTGAATCCTCCGTTCCACATACATGCAAAGGAGGAGAACTTATTCTCATCTCAAAAGAAGTTGATCACTTTTACAGCCATGCATCCATCGGTCGGTCTCCGATGCATTTTCTCTAGACAATAATGTTATTTTAAACCTCGTATAAATCATATTATATATTAGAGATACGAATGTAAAAGCATATTATATAAACGAGAGGTTGTATTTGTATATCGCATTTTCGTAGCTACTTCCTATTCTCTCTTTCTCCCTTCTTATATATATGTGAACTTAGATATACACATATGTTCGAAGAGTGGTTGTATAAATAAGAAAAATCTAGATGGGTAGGAACAAAAAATCGTCAACATTTTCAGTGATAAGAGCTTTGTTACCGTGCTGCTCGAACAGTGGAGATGATTGGAGTGAAGAAGGAGTGATCATAAGGTCAAGAATCATGACCAGTGATGAAGATGGTCGGCTTTGGATTGCTGAGCCAGGGGTCGATAGAAGAGCCACTTCTTTTATTGCTAGGTTCTACGAGAACCGAGTCTCTGATCCTGATTACAAAAGTCTTACTCCTTGAGTTGTTTTTTCTATGCTCTTCCCTTTTATTGTTTCTTCATGTTTTATTTTTTTTCTTGTGCTAGTTTATGGTAAAATAAATAACTTGTGAATTAGTCCCTGTGTTTGTTAGATTACATATGTATTAGTATTTTTAATTTTTTTTATAGTAATAATAATGAGATTTATAAGACATCGACTCGCACTGTCTATGTTCCACTTTTATCGTCAATACCTTTTTTCTTTTTCTAACTTGTGTTTTTACTTTTTCTACGAAGCTAATTAACAACATTTGTTAATTATGGTAGTCGACTGACCTCTAAAAGATGAAAACTTAAAAAATATGATTCAAATTTTGTTTAGGAAAGATGTTGGTCTCCATTGGAAGTGTAGTCGAACTTCCATGTTCTAAGATCTTGCAGAGATGGTAATGCCGATTGTGGTAATGAATTTGAGGAAAAAAAAATATTCATATAATAAGTTAGAACTTCAAAAAAAAAAAATGTTGATATTTCAGAGTTTGGGTTGTACTTGTACGAGTGACATCAAAAAAAAAAAATGAAAAAGGCCCAAGTCTGTAAAGCCCATGTACTTTCTTTCCCGGTTTAAAACCATATTAAATTTTCTGGTTTGTTTTGAAAAAGTTAACGTTTTTCTTTTTTGGAAATTTAAGTTAACTTAAGTTTCTTCCTCATTTTAGACTTTTAGTCATTATATAAAGATTTATTTTACTCGTAAAGTTATTATATATTTGTCGGCGTAAACAACGAACAAGTGTGATAAGCCCAAAAACATATCAATGATGGGTGTTAGTGTTGGGGTGCTAAACATTTTTTATTATATAATAAATGCTAAAAGTTAGCAACCCACTTTTTTAGGTTCTAAAAAGGTAAAATTAGCAATCCATTTTTAAGATTCTAAAACTATTTAATTGTTTTTAATCCATTAGCAACCCATTAAAAAATTTACTAATACTCACCATTGATCATGTTCTAACACTTCAAGTCGTCGAGTGTACAGTAAGAATCAACAACTACCATACAATATATTTCGTTCATACAAACAA